TGTGTACCCTCCACGCCCGCCTCCCGTCTCCCACAGGGGCCAGCCAGTCCCTCTGGAGGGCCAGCATCAGGGCAGGGAGGCCGAGGCCTTCCCCAGATAAGAGCATCAGAAGAGCCCTGCTGGGTCAGACCAGGGAGGGTCCATCCAGTCCAGCCTCCCGTCTCACTCAGGGGCCAGCCAGTCCCTCTGGAGGGCCAGCATCAGGGCAGGGAGGCCGAGGCCTTCCCCAGATAAGAGCATCAGAAGAGCCCTGCTGGGTCAGACCAGGGAGGGTCCATCCAGTCCAGCCTCCCGTCTCACTCAGGGGCCAGCCAGTCCCTCTGGAGGGCCAGCAACAGGGCAGGGAGGTCGAGGCCTTCCCCCGATGTTGCCTCCTGGCTCTGGGATTCAGAGGATTAGTGCCTTTGAACGTGCCGGTTCCCTGAGCCCCCACGGCTAGTAGCCACTGATTGAATGTATCTAATATCCTTTTCCAGCTGTCTATTCCTGTGGCCATCACTACCTCCTCTGGCAGCGAATTCCACCTTTTAATCACTCTCAGCGTAAGGTAGTATTTCCTTTTGCCCCTCCTGAACCTACTGCCCATCAGCTTCACTGGATGTCCCCAGATTCTAGTATCTTGGGGGAGGGAGCGTACAGGGAGTGCTTCCGTTCATCAGGAAGCGCGCTAGAGCCATGTGGGGTTAGAGGACACGACCTCCACAATGGAGGCCACGGCCTTCAGAGAGACATTGCCCCCAACTAGGGTCATGACCTCTGGGCTAGGAAATTCCAGGATATGTTAAGGGTGGGGCCTGGGTTTGGGGTGGGGAGGGACCGCAGTTGGGTCATTCATTCAGAATGTATTACAGTCACTAGCAGTGTTCCCTCTAAGCTGAGTTAGTGTGAGCTAGCTCACAGTTCTTAAACCTCCGGCTCACACATTTTTGTCTCAGCTTGGGAAGGAGGGCTCCGGAGCAAACTAATTCATGCAGCAGCCACATGGCTCGCTCACCACTTTAATGCCAGCGGCTCACAAAGTACAATTTTGGCTCACAAGACTCCACTGCTTAGAGGGAGCATTGGTCACTAGACCGGCCATATATATACAGTTATAATAAAAAAATTTTTTACAGCTGGTTATAATGCCATAGAGTTCACCCTCCAAAGCAGGCAGTTTCTCCAGGGGAACTGATCTCTGTCGTCTGAAACTCTGGGAATCTCCAGGCCCCACCTAGAGACTGGCAACCCTGGCCCCGGCACCTTCCCTGGCCATTTTGGAAATTGAGTCCTGGCTGGAGAGAGAAAATGCAGGAGGGGGGATTTTAAAAGCAAGGAAATCACCTAGAAAGAACAGAGGAACGGATCGGGGGAAAGGCGAGGAAGAGGGAGGATTAGGGTTGAAGAACAAGCCCCATGAGGAAAGGTATTAGCTGTTGTAGATTTCCCGGGTTGTCTGGCCGTGGTCTTGGCATTGTAGGACCTGACGTTTCGCCAGCAGCTGTGACTGGCATCCTCAGAGGTATAACACAGAAAGACGGAGGACTCTCTGTGTCAAGGGGAGAAGAAAAATGGTAGGCAGGTAATTTATATCTACTCAGGAAGGTGGGGTAGAATTTCAACAGCCAGTCCACGAGCAAAAGAACCTCCTCAGGAAACCTCCTCAGGAAACAAACCCTATGCAAAAGAACCTCCTCAGGAAATAGCCAATCCATGTACAAAAGAACCTCCTCAGGAAACAGGAAACCTCATCAGGAAACAATCCCTATGCAAACGAACCTCAGGAAAGCTCCTCCATAAGCATGTTTTCACAGCCTGGGGAACTCTTACAAGATAATGACTCGGCCCTACCTGAGGCTGGTAATTTATATCTACTCAGGAAGGTGTTGTAGGGCCGAGGCATTCTCTTGTAGGAGTTCCCCAGACTGTGAAACATGATAATGGAGGAGCTTTCCTGAGGAGGTTCTTTTGTCTATGGGTTGTTTCCTGAGGAGGTTCTTTTGTGTGTGGAGTGGCTGTTGAAATTCTGATCTTCTCTGTAGTGCTATTGTCAGACGTAGAGCCTTTTGTGTTTTTCAGGAGAGGAAACCATGCCCTGTTTATTTTTAAACTTTCTTCTTTCCTGTTGGAATTGCGTTTATGTTTATCGATTTCAATGGCGTCCCTGTGTAATCTGACGTGGTGATTGGATGTGTTGTCCAGCCTTTCAGTGCCTTGGTCCTACAATGCCTAGTCCACGGCCAGACAACCCGGAAAATCTACAACAGCTACTGAACTCCAGCCATGAAAGCCTTCGACAACGTCTAGAACTAGGTATGTTTAACTGGGAGAAGAGAAGGCCAAGGGAGGGTCTGGTGTCACACACACGAAGCTGCCTTCTACTGAATCAGACCCTGGGTCCACCAAGGTCTGCTCAAAATGGCTGCCGCTCTCCAGGGCCTCAGGCAGAGAAAGGTCTTTCACATCACCTGCTGCCTGGGCCTTTTAAACGGAGATGCCGGGGATTGAACCTGAGACCTTCCGCACATTCCACACAGAGGCACTGCCTCTGCGCCTCAGCCGCTCCTCCGGTGCCGTATACTGGACCTGACCCTTGGTCCATCAACAGATGGGTAGGAATTCTTGAAGAAGTGGGGTCGAAGGGAAGGTCAGCCTCTCCGTCTGATTCACAGACTACCCGCGTGGGGTTTTTATGTGGTATTTACTGGCCAGCCCTGACCTGGATGGCCCAGGCCGTCCCAGTCTCAGAAGCTAAGCAGGGTCGGCCCCAATTAGAACTTGGATGGGAGACCTCCAAGGGAGTCCAGGGTTGCTACGCAGAGGCAGGCAAAGGCAAACCACCACTGTTTGTCTCACCCAGGCCCAGGGTAGCCCAATCTCATCAGATCTCAGAAGCTAAGCAAGGCCAGCCCTGGTTGGTACTTGGATGGGAGACAACCAAGGAAGCCCAGGGTTGCTACGCAGAGGCAGGCCATGGCAAACCCACCTCTGCACATCTCTTACCTCGACCTGAATAGCCCCAGGGACTCTGATCTCGTCAGATCTCAGAAGCTAAGCAGGGCCAGCCCTGTTTGGCACTTGGGTGGGAGGCCACCAAGGAAGCCCAGGGTTGCTGCGCAGAGGCAGGCAAGGGCAAACCCACCTCTGCACGTCTCTTGCCTCGACCTGAGTAGCCCCAGGGAGTCTGATCTCGTCAGATCTCAGAAGCTAAGCAGGGCCAGCCCTGGTTGGCACTTGGGTGGGAGGCCACCAAGGAAGCCCAGGGTTGCTGCGCAGAGGCAGGCAAGGGCAAACCCACCTCTGCACGTCTCTTGCCTCGACCTGAGTAGCCCCAGGGAGTCTGATCTCGTCAGATCTCAGAAGCTAAGCAGGGCCAGCCCTGGTTGGCACTTGGGTGGGAGGCCACCAAGGAAGCCCAGGGTTGCTACGCAGAGGCAGGCAAGGGCAAACCCACCTCTGCACGTCCCTTGCCTTGAAAACCCCACAGGGTCACCATAAGTCAGCCGTGACTTGATGGCAGGGAAAAAAGGCCACGAGAACCCCGCCTGTCCCCAAAGGGATGACCTTTTAAGGTCAGCGCCAAAACCCCAGAAGCCACACTGTTCTGTCAGAAAGCATCGCCCCAGAGAGATCTGGAGGCAACCCAAAGTCACTGGAGAGCCAGTTTGATGTGGTGGTGAAGTGCGCGGACTCTAACCTGGGAGAACCGGGTTTGATTCCCCACTCCTCCACTTGCGCCTGGCTGGATGACCTTGGGCAAGCCATAGCTCTGATAAGAGCTGTTCTTGAAAAGAGCCGTTTCTGTCAATAGTTCTCTCA